TGTAGAGTTGGATGAACACAGCAGGCCAAGCAGCATCAGAGGAGCAGGAAGGCTGACGTTTCAGGCCTAGACCCTTCTTCAGAAATAGGGAATGGGAAGGGGGTTCTGAAATAAATAGGGAGAGAGGGGGAGGCAGGTAGAAGATGCATAGAGGAGAAGATAGGTGGAGAGGAGGCAGACTGGTCAAAGAGGCAGGGATGGAGCCAGTAAAGGTGAGTGTAGGTGGGGAGTTAGGGAGGAGATAGATCAGTCCAGGGAGGATGGACAGGTCAAGGGGGCGGGATGAGGTTAGTAGGTAGGAGATGGGAGTGGGGCTTGAGGTGGGAGGAGGGACAGGTTAGGGAGGCGGGGACAAGCTGGGCTGGTTTTGGGATGCGGTAGGGGGAGGGGAGATTTTGAAGCTTGTGAAGTCCACATTGATACTATTGGGTTGCAGGGTTCCCGAGCTGAATGAGGTGCTGTTCCTGCAACCTTTGGGTAGCATCGTTGTGGCACTGCAGGAGGCCCAGGATGGACATGTCGTCTGAGGAATGGGAGGGGGAGTTGAAATGATTCGCGACTAGGAGGTGCAGTTGTTTAGTGCAAACCAAGCGTAGGTGTTCTGCAAAGCGGTCCCCAAGCCTACGCTTGCTTTCCTCGATGTAGAGGAGGCCACAATGGGAACAGCGGATACAGTATACCACATTAGCAGATGTGCAGGTGAACATCTGCTTGATGTGGAAAGTCTTCTTGGGGCCTGGGATGGGGGTGAGGGGGGAGGTGTAGGGGCAGGTGTAGCACTACCTGCAGTTGCAGGGCAAAGTGCCGGGTGTGGTGGGGCTAGAGGGGAGTGTGGAGCGGACAAGGGAGTCCCTGAGAGAGTGGTCCCTCCGGAAAGCAGATAAGGTGGTGGGGTCGGATTGCAGATGGCGGAAGTGTCGGAGGAGGATGCGTTGGATCCGGAGGTTGGTGGGGTGGTGCGTGAGGACGAGGGGGATTCTGTTTTGGTTGTTATTGCGGGTACGGGGTGTGAGGGATGAGTTGCGGGAAATGCGGGAGACACGGTCGAGGGTGTTCTCGACCACTGAGGGGGGGATGTTGCAGTCCTTGAGAAACGAGGACATCTGAGATGTATGGGAGTGGAATGCCTCATCCTGGGAGCAGATGCGGCGGAGGCGAAGGAATTGGGAATAGGGGATGTTCCTGTGCTGTACTGCTCTTTGAACTGTAATTAGTTGCTAACATGCAATAGCTAGACTTGTTCATTACAAGTGACTCATGGTTCGACTAGAAATGGAGTTTCCTCTAGCATGTTAGACCATGCAGGCTTTCTGGTTTTCTACACTTAAAGACAATTGTGGCAGCAACCATCATCATGGGGAACAGCTCATACAGCAGAATCAGTTAGCAAGCCCATACAATATAGTGTAAATAATATAAATGAACAAATGACCTTTTTTGGCACTTACTTTTGTCACTATAGAGCTTACTTTTTTATTGCATCTCTGAGATGCCATGAACCACGTCTCCTCAAAAAGCTGTCCTGACTCAAATGAACAATGCAAAAGAAGGACTATAACACATCTATCTCTGCCACGGATGGAGGTGGGGGGTTACATGAATAGGAAGGATACTGAGTCCTTGGCAACCAGGTCACTTGAGTTGCCTCCAAGCAGATTTTGTAGGAGGTCAAAGTCCTGTCTCCAAAAATATTCCATTTAACTTCAAATAGACAATTCAAAGCATAACCAACTTATAAAACCCAAGTCATGACAGTACTCTGAATGTCACCTATTAACGTCCTCATCTGAGTACTCTGAAGCAGTACATCAGTGGCCTTGCTATCCAGGAAGCAAGAATAGATGTTATTCTTTTCCACTGGCCTTGCTGCTGCATATTCATGCTGCATAGTTCATTCCATGCTGATTTCACTTCTATGCCACCCTCTTGGGTACACAGTGCCAATATCTGAACTGGTAGCTGCCACTGATGGATCAAATGACAATGCTCCTTCATCAAACTTGTTCTTGCTCTTCATTACCACACTCCTCTGGCTGATCAGACAACAGTTCTTGAGTATCTGAAAGCATAAATGTAGAAGGAGACGGTGGGGTGAGAGAAGGGCAGAAAGAGATGGGTGGAAAGCAGGAGGTCCATGGTCACATCAACTGCAATTTCCTAAGCGATTGCAGGTTGTAAGTGGGGTTGGAGAAGGTTTCAGTGATGTGATGGCCTCAGTCACTGCTACATTGATAATTCACAGTAGCACTTCCCCAAAGGGGCTGAGGAGATGCCAGCATTCCTATCCTCCACCAACTCTCTTCTCTAACCTCCTGTGCCGAAAGAGGGGAGGTGGTGTGGTAGCGGTGTATGTCAGTGAAAAGGTTGAAATATATTTAAGGGATGCACCTTTCAGAGTTAAATTGCTGGAAGTGTGTGGAAGCTGAGACATGTTGATGAGAGGTTGTATCAGGTGTAACTGTGAGGTGGTGGGGGAGAATAAGAATGTTAGAAACAAATCCCAAGTAGGTGAGTAATAGGAACCCATTGAGTGGAGTTGGGTGGTGGTATAGCAGGTTGATGATGGAACTTGAAGATACCTTCAATGACTGTTACCATTTGAGAGAGGTCATTGTGCTTTTTGAGGCACTGCAGACAGTTTCTTGCAGGCTCACACTCTGACATTGTACATCTAATATCATGTGCACCCAATTCCTTGATATGCTTAGAGGCCTCCTGTGAAACATAGTCTCCCTCTTTGCAATTAGTGTTAGGTTTAGAGAGACCCTGGGCCACTGCTGAGTATGGTGGGTTAGTCAGCAACAACTTTATCACTGCACTGCACATCCCAATCCTGGACTGAATCACACAGCATGACAGCTGAACACTCCCTGGATCACCTCGAGCAAGGGCAGGGCCTTTGCACATTATAATCACTGTGCCTGTAGACCAGCAGCGTTGCATTGTAGCCCATGATCATGTTCTGTGCTGGAGCAGTGGACTGAGGGGTATGCAGGGTACTTTTCACTCAGCCTGCCTGTCTACTGTTCCTGCTGGCTTTCAATTCCATGCCTACGCTGTTGGGAAGGAAACCCATTTACAGGAGAGTGTCACTTTACTGAATTCTCATTTATCTGTGGATAACAGGCTCCATTTTGATTAACACAGAGTCAGAGGAGAAACCATTTGCACAATGAAATGCAGTTACTACAGATAGAGTGGTTTAAAACATGCAAGAGTTTTGTCTTGTCACTGGCTAATTCACACTAGGATCCTGATACACCAGACCTGAACCTCATTGTTGGGTTAGAAGTTGAAGTTGATTAATGATGTCATGTGTTTCCCGGAGTACCAACAACATTGCAGTCTGCTGCCATGGAAACAAACAAATCTTTTTTAATGTTACAAAGTGACCCCACTATGTGAACCTAGAGAACCTGATACTTGGCGATGGCAATGATCCATATACAGCCTTCACCCAATATCCACGTCCACTGCTTTCCTCTTTCTCCAGCTCAGAGGCACTCATGTCATGCCCAAGCCTCAGACGATTGAGCACTAACCAAACTGGGACATTCCTGTCCTGCTAACATGTCCTCTCAATTAAAATGATCCACAGTAGATTTTCTGGATTTTGTCAATTCCCATTGGTAGTAAAATGGCATCTTAAAATCTTTGCCTGTTAGAGGAGACATGTGATTTGTAACATCATAATTACATTGGATATACTTGGCAAAAAGGCCCCCAACAGACTCAACAGAACCTTGGTTTGCTTTGCCAAAGATATTACGCTGTATTTAACCACTTGGTTAATTAGTCTTTTGCAGTGCATTTGATTCACTGTACTTTTAATCAGCTCTTCCTAAGCGAGTACAAATTATTAGCTCATGGCAGGATAATTAGTCTGCACTCAGAAGATTCACATTTTTTTTTTTAAAAACATCACCGGTATTTACCCTACCAAATATGGAGAACATATTGGTCAAGTGGTTGTGTAGGTCCTAGGCCAGGAGCTGCTAAAAGGCTCCCCACAACAATTCACTATTTGAATGGAACCACTGAGTTCATCCCAAAAAAGGGTAAAACTGTTTTCATTAGTGGCAGTGCTCAGAATACAAGGAGGGCTAGGGTCAATGGGCAAACTCCCTGCAGAAATCCCCAAAACACCAGGGGATGGCCAATCCAGGAAAAGTCACCGAGGCCAAGTACTTTTTCTTGGGAATGGTGAGCCAGTGGGAATTCCATCTGTCAGTTTCTGGAGTGGGGGTGGAGAGACAGTGTTGTGCAGGGTCTTTGGGGCAGTGTAGATCAGGCAGGAAAACAAAGCCATAAAAAGGTTGAGGGGCTGGTCAGGGACTAAAGGCTTGCAAGGGGAGGTGGTGGGGAGGCCACATGAAGGAATGGGGAGGAGGAGAAGAAACAGACCACAAGGTGGGGTGGAGTGGTCAGGCTAAGAGCCCTCATTGGGGGTGGGAAGGCAAGGAAGAAACCATCCTAGGGTGGAGAAAAGGACAAAAAGAATCTGAAAGTGGAGATTTGGGTGGTTGGGAACAAAAGGTGTCCCATGCTCGCATGTATAAGCGGGTGTTTTGGAGTGTGTGCGTGTGCATGTGCGGTGTGTGTATGTATGTCATATGTGTGCATGTGGGTGCGTGGGTCAGGGTTTTGGGGTGTGTGCGTGTGCATGTCATTTGTCTACACAATTACAAGAGGGATTATCACAATGTGACAGCATCAACTGATGAATAAGTTAATAAGAATGATTTGGGAACCCCTGAAAACTGAAAGGTAGGCTTTGAAGGAAATTTTGTGTCATGATGCACAGCGATATAATTAGCAGAGTGGATTCCAAGCTTACTTAGTTTATTGTATTTTTTCATTAACACAGCTTATCCAAGATAAAATCAACAGCAGAATGGGACAAAATTTATCAAGTCTTATGCTTATGAACATCATGCTGGGTCCACTAATGTGTGTTTCAGTTCTAGGATACCAAAGCTATCTGCACAGTCTTACTTTACCATTGTAAACCATGTGATCAAAGCCGCATTCTTGACATTCTTTAGCAGCTCTCGGTTCATGTCTGGCTGCAGCTCAAGGTAGAATAAAAGACCCTCATTGATGAGGTTTGGAAGCCAGCTGTGAAGAAAGGGAAAGGCATGTGAAAATTTTGAGTAAAATAATGGCAATGCAAAGAAAGCAAAAAGGATACTGCTTCCATTCATGTAGTGTCTGATTACTGTCTCCAATTTTATAACATGCAGTAAGTTACTTACTATGCAATGACTAATGCATTTAAGTATGACTATCATTTTGCTCATAGAAGAATCCTACCACAGTAAAACAAAATCTACCATCTCAAAGTGGCGAACAAATACTTCAAATCAAATGTTTTGGTGTAAAAATTATGATTGTTTTCCCCAAACATAAACCAATGTAGATTTACAGTTGCTTTACAAATCTTATTACTGGCTTATTTAATCTATTAATAGCCAGAGCTCTTTATAAAAAGTATTAAACTGTAATTATTCTATTGAAATTGAATTACCATGACTGAGCATATTCTAAACAGGCTCCTGACTCAGGGGGCCTTTCATGACTCTGGCTGTACAAATCTGACTCTTCTTACAAAATAAAAACTGTAAGATATAAAAACCTCCATGCTGATCATGAGCAAACTCTGAAATCATGTCTCCGGCAATGGGTTCACAAGATGCAAACAGTAAAGAGATGGAGGGTCAGTAAATTTATTTTTCAACAGTATTGATTGAAGGAGGAAGATGGACCAGGTCATTGGCCATGGGGTAATTGAGTGCCCTGGTAAGGGGTGCAGAGGAGATTCACCAGAATGATGCTTGAGATGGAGCTTTACAGCCAAGAGGAGAGGCTGGATAAGCTTGGGTCGTTGTCTTTCAAGCAGAGAAGGCTGATGGAAGAATGGGGCACCTGATAGAACCGGATAAGATTGTGAAGGGTATGGGCAGAATAAATAGAAAGCAGCTGTTCCCCCTAGCCAAAATGGTCAAGATCATAGGGGCATATGTTTAAAACAAGAGGCAAAAGGTTTAGAGGGAATTTGAGGAAAATGAATTTCACCCAGAGGATGGTGGGGGTCTGGAATGCACTGCCTGATAGGGTTGTTAAGGCAGGTAAAGTCAGAACTTTTTAAAAAATACTTGGATTAACACAATGTCATAACAATCAAGCGGGAATTGTGTAGGGAGTAGGGTATTTTTGGCAGTACAGAATCGATGGGCTGAAGGGTCTCTTCTGCACTGTATGGTACAATGTGTCCTGAACGACCGGAACAGGCTGCATTATTATTGCATCCACAATGGATTATTAGCCCAGATTAGTTTGTTAAAATAATATTTTTTCAGTGGGTGGCACAGTAGCTCAGTGGTTAGCACTGCTGCCCCACCGTGCCAGGGACCAGGTTCGATTCCACCCTTGGGTGACTGACTGTGTGGAGTTTGCACATTCTCCATGTGTCTGCGTGGGTTTCCTCCAGGTACTCCGGTTTCCTTCAACACTCCAAAGATGTGCAGGTTAGGTGGACTGGCTGTGCTAAATTGCCCGTAGTGTTCAGGGATGTGCAGGCTAGGTGAATTGGCCATGGGAAATGTAGGGTTACAGAGATAGGAAAGGGTGGGGGAGATGAGTCTGGGTGGGCTGCCCTTCAGGGGGTCAGTGTGGACTTGATGGGCCAAATGACCCTGCTTCCACACGGTTCTGATTTACAGGATGCGGGTCAGCATTTATTGCCCATCTGTAAAATTTTCTTTGGGAAGTTGGTGGTGAACCACTGCTGTCACACCCATAGTGTGGTTAGGAAAGGAGCACCAGGATTTTGACCCAGCAACACAGTGAAGGGACAGCAAAATCATTCCGAAAGAACGTGTGGGGCTTGGAAGGGAGTATACAGGTGGTGATGCTTCACTCATCCCTCCTGGATGTGGAAGGTAATGTTGATGGAGCTCTGATGAGATGCTGTGGTGCATCTTGTATATGATACATACTGCTGCTGCATAGTCAGTGCTGGAGGAGCACTGGGAAAAAAAAAATCAGACTGTTCACTCCTGGATATCAAGCTTCAAGTGTTGTTGGAGCTGCACAGATCCAGGCAAGTGGAGAATATTCCCTCACAGTCCTGAATTATGCCTTGTAGATGCTGAACAGGCTTTAGGGAATCAGTGCTCGCTGCAGAATTCCCAACCCACGACCTTCTCTTGTAGCTGCCGTATTTATATACCTGGTCCAGTTCAATTCTTGATAAATGGCAACCAATAAACTGTTGACAGTGAGAGATTCAGCCAAGATAATGCCATTGAATGTCAAATGCAACGATTGATTGCCTGGCATTTGTGTGGTGATTGTAATTCGCCACTTTTCTGCCAGAGGCTGCATGTTCTTCAGGTCTCATTGTGTTTGAATGTCGGAAGTCATGAATGGTGCTGAGCATTGAACAATCAATCGGCGAACATCCCCACTTCTAACCTTATGATGGAGGGAAAGTCATTGATGAAGCAGGTGAAGACAGTTGGCTAAGGAACTCCTGCCGAGATATCCTGGAGCTGGGATGACTGACCTCCAACCACCACAAACTCCTTCTTTTACACTGGTATGTCTCCAGCTGGTGGAAATATTTCCCCGGATTTCCAATTTTGGCAGGGGTCCTTGATCAAATGCTGGTTAGAGGGCAGAGGCAGTGAGTCATTCTCGTTTCCCGTTTGAGGTGAACTCTATTGCCTATGTTTTTATGAAGCCAAATTTGACAGTCAGTTAACTGCTGAACAAGTGCTGCGTGACAACACTTTCATCTTGATTATAATCAAGAGTAGACTGATGAAACAATATTTGACTGGGTTGGATTTGTCCAGTTTTTGGTGGATAGGACATACCTGGGCAATTTTCCAGTTTCATCTCGATCATCAATAAAAGTGATGCATGGTGTCATCAACAGTGCTATTAAGCAGCACCAGTTCAGCAATAACTTGCTAGCTGATGCTATGATTGGGTTCCGTCAGGACCTCTCAGCTCCTGACCTCACTGCAGCCTTGGTGCAAACATGAACAAAGATGCTGCATTCTAGAGTAGAAGAGAGAGAAGCTGCTCTTGATATCAAGGCTGAACTTGACTGAGTGTGATATTAAGGAGCTCCAGCAAAACTGGAGTCAATGGGAATTTCCATTGGTTAAAGTCATACCTGGCACGAAGGGAGGTTACAGTTGTTGGAAATCAGTCCTCCCAGCTCCAGAATCACTGCAAGATAGCATCCTAGGCCCAACAACCTCCAGCAGTTTCACCAATTCCCTCTATCATAAAAAGGTCACAGGTAGAATGTCCACTGATCACTGCAGAATGCTCAACACCATTCACAAATCCTCAGATACAAAACCAGCAAATGCAGCAAGACTTGGACAATATCCAGGCTTAGGCTGACTAGCACACAAGTACCAGGCAATGACCATCTTCAACAAGAGAGAATCTAATCGTGAACTATTGGCATTCACCATTGCTGAATCTCCCACTATCAACATCCTTTGGGTTACCATTGACTAAAAGCTGAACTATCATATTAATCTATTGGCCTTACAAGTATTCGGGTCAGAGGGTAGGAATCTTGCAATGAGAAATGCTCCTCCTGACTCTTAAAAATCCATCTACAAGGCACAAACCTGGAGTGTGGTGGAATATTCCCCACTTGCCTGGGTGAGTGCCTTTTTAATCAACACTCAAGAAGCTTGACACTATCCAGGACAAAGCAGCCTGCTTGACTGACACCACATCTACAAACATTCACTCCCTCCACCACTGACGCTCAGTAGCAGCAGCAATGTCTACTATCTACATGATACGCAGTGGAAATTCACCAAAGTTCCTCAGACAGCACCTTCCAAACCCACGACCAATTTCATCTACAGGAGCAAGGGCAGCAGATACATATGAATACCACTACCTGCAAGTTCCCATCCAAGCCACTCACCATCTTCATCTGGAAATATAATCGTCGTTCCTTCACGGTTGCTGAGTCAAAATCCTGAATTCCCTCACTAACAGCATTGTGGGTCAATCTACAGCTGGTGGACTGCAACAGCTTAAGAAGGCAGCTCACCACCACCTTCTCAAGTGAAACTGGGGACGGGCAATAAATGCTGGCCCAGTCAGCGATACCCACATCCCATGAATTAAAAACAAAAAGCCTAGGCATGTTTGTAGGAACTGCAGACTTGCCTAGCACCTGTATCTTACATCCCAACCCCCTTCACTTTTGACCTTGTAAATTGCTCTGCAGACACAAGAGGAAAACCGAACCATCTACGGTCTAGTCAATTGCAGAGTTGCTGGAAGAGTCTAACTTGAAGGAAACACCAACTGCCAAATAGCCCTCCATTCCAGATTTTATAGGGAGTTTACTCCCTTAGCCATCAGTACTTTATTGGGAATTGTGGATGGCACTGTTTGGCAGAACCCAGATTACACTAGAATACTGGCTTCTGTGCTGGGGTAAAAGGGTTTGAGATACAAGGAGAGGCTGGTTAGGCTGGGACCTTTTTCATTGGAACGTAGGAGGTAGAAGGGTGACTTTTTGGAGGTTTATTAAGTCACGAGGGGTATAAATAAGGTGAATACCAAAGGTCCTTTCTCTCGGGTGGGCGAGTTCAAAAATAGGAGACATATTTTTAAGGTAAAAGGAGAAAGATTTAAAAGGGACCTGACAGACAACATTTTCACACTGAGGGTGGTTTGTATGTAGAATGAACTGCCAGAGGATGTGGTAGAGACGAGTACAATTACAACATCTAAAAGACCTTTGAACAGGTACGTGGAAAGAAAACGTTTAGAGGGTTATGGGCCAAACATAGGCAAGGGGTGGCTAGTTTCATTTGGGAAACTTGTTCAGCATGAACGAGTTGGACAAAAGGATCTGTTTCCGTGCTGTATGACTCTATGGGCTTTGTAATCAGTTGAAGTACTAGCCTGGGTTCCTGCTTTGTGAACCAATACAGCTCAATTGAAAATTTCAAAAGATGTGTTTGATGTAGGTTTTATACTCGGCAAAGCTATCGAAGTACATAGAGTTAGGTAATAAATCAGTCAGGCAGTCATTAGGAGAGCAGGATTGAAGAAATGAATGCACTATGATCCAATTCACAGCCTTGAATAATGTTTAAGATGCTAGTATCCAACACCACTTTTTACATGCTTATCACTAGTTCATATTTGGAGAAAAATAAATAGGCAGGTAATTTCACTTCAGCATGTGATAATCAACAATTCTCATAAATACATAACTGTGCCTTACCAAATAAAACATACAAGCAGAATCTTGAAAAATCTTAACTTAATCTGACTCCCCAAACGCCTTTCATTTTCTGTATATATGCCTTGCCTTCCCTTCAATAGTGAGGCAACTGAAAAATAAAACGTATTTCCTTTGAACCTGATGCAATGGTATACTCAAAAATGTCAATTCTATCACAAACAGATGAAGTTTCAAACCATTTGAATTGAAATGACTTTTCAATAGTGCGATTGGTGAAATGCAGACTGAATGCCAGTAGCAGTGATAACAAACAGAAGAGTGTTGAAAGTGCTGCAAACGGCAATGTCATCATGAGGTTTCTTTAGTGAATGAATGGATCTCACATGATGGTGCTTATGAATTAAAAAGAGGATGACTGAATCCTTAAATAGATTCACGCTGTTCACCAACCATCATCTGGCCCTCATCCAAACTAATACAAAAATAACTTTCTGTTACATTCACTCACCCAGTTGCATAGATAAATCTGTGCCCATCACCCACTCCAGACACTTAAATAAAAAATTCACCTCAAACATTTAAAGACTCTTAAGCAATCCAGCCAGATGCAAAGTATTAGCTGACAGTAAAGGCTGATCACAGTAAGATGCCCAATGCATTCACACTATTGGCATTTTGATTTTGAGGCATTGGTTCCCCGGACTAATCACTAGTAATGGAGGTTATAAATCACATGATTTCCATTCTCATTCATCCATAAAATTGCAAGCATATGGGCTGTCATGGGTCACATGGTTCCTACGCACCAGATTACAAGACGACAACTCATATTCAAGTGTGAAAAGATCATTTAGAAAAGAAGGGAAAAACACTCCAGGGTTTTTAAAACTTGGTTTCATGTTGTTGAATGGCCAAGAGGGATAATATTAAATAAGTCACCTTTTGCCACAGCGTGAATGTTATAATAGAAAATGTTTCTGACTGTGTCTGTGTGCGCGATTGGAGAGTTGAGCCTGGTATCTCTGATAATGCTGCCTTTTTGCTGGATTGCCCCTTCACAGGGGAAAACCATACCATGCATTTGGACATTATTCATGCAAGGGGCTTGCAAACAAGTGCTGGCGTATGAAATCAACAATGAGGTGCATTGCAGCGAGCTCTACATTCAGGCAAACATTTTCAGCTGGACAGTAAGGGAAACAGAGGTTATGGGGATAAGGCAGGAAAGTGGAGATGAGGATTATCAGGTCAGACTCAATCTCACTGATTTGTGGATCTGAGTGAATGGGCCGAACAGCCTACTTCTGCTCCCAGGTCTTATGGCTTTATGAAGAGATAGACTGGCTATCACCAGGGCTGCTTCCTTACCTTTCAGTCAGGGCACAGAGTCCATTGTAGTGCTGTTACCTATACCTCACTGGAAGTCAACAAGGAGTACAAACCAGTAACTTGGAAGAACTTTGTACATGCATGGCTGCAGAAACCGTGGTGGTTCACTTTTTAAGCATGCTGCAGTAAATAAATGAAACCAACGTTAAGCAATATTTGTGGAAGTCATACCTGCAGAAGCAGTCTTCCCAAACAGTATGGGGTTAACAAGCAGAACTAGCAACAGAGGTATGTAGGTTGTGATGTAGTGAGGGATTGCATGTTCTAGTCCATTCTGACAGCTGGAAAAGATTCAAGTTTATATTAATCATCTGAAATTCAATACAGGTACTTTTTTGTCTGCCCATAAATATCATGTGGCAATGATGGTGTGTTACAGAGAAGGGTTACCATGGCGTAGCACTTCAAAAATAAACCCAGTTCAAGTTTTTACATTGGTAGCACAGGATGATGTTGTCCCTCTATTTATTTCATTTTACATTCACATGGAGACTATTTTTGAGCAGTCAAAAATCTTGAAAGCCATCCCTTCCACTAATAATTTTTAAAAGAAGCACCGAGGGTTAAAATTCTGCTATTGCCTTTGTTGGAGAATATGTGAGCTGCTGAGTATATATCAGTATTAGACAATATTGGAAAAAAATAGCATATTCTGCAACTGCATCATATTTTTGAAACCCAAGAGTCAGAAGTGAGCAATTGTTTCTAATTCCTGAAATTACTAACCTGGAAATGGATGGATAATAAAGCATGGCTACACCTTCAACCAATAGCAGGATCGCCAAGCCCCAGGTCAGCATGTGGTACAACACTAGAATACTATATTGAAAAAAAAAGAATGAGTGGCTTCAGCATCATATTTGACAAAGTTCTTGGTATTGATTGACCTATTGAAATTTCAGATGCCTTTGCAAGGGTAAAATTTCATGCTCTTTCTCTGTTTCTAAACAGAAGAAAAATCAATGCTCGTGGGAAATTTGATCATAGTCAATGGAATCAGTCAAATGCAGATTGTATTTACGGCAAGTGCACTGGATAAAGGTCAGGGACTGGAGCCCTGCTCAATTTCTCTCTCTTTGGCTAGACAGGGAGGCTAGCCCTGTTTAGGAGCAGAAGCAGGCCACTCAGCTTATCAAAAGCACTCCACTATTCAATGAGATGATTGATATCTTAATAATCCTCGATCCCATTTTTCTGCCTTTTCCCCATAACCCTTCATTGCGTTGCGATTGCAATGGCCATGCCTGTTGTTGTCTCAATTGAGATCAGTTAACCAGTGTGCAAATCTGAAAATCTCCTTTCATCGTTGGGCCACAATTCATATTAAAGGGAGCATTTATTCGGGGAACTATAAAAAAAACAAAATCTCCACAACTTAATCTGATCACTAAACTCTTCAAAACAAGCAGAGATAGTAGGAACTGCAGATGCTGGAGAATCCGAGACAACAAGGTGCAGGGCTGGATGAACACAGCAGGCCAAGCAGCATCATAGGAGCAGAGAGGCTGACGTTTCGGGCCTAGGGGGTTTTGAAATAAATAGGGAGAGAGTGGGAGGCGGATAGAAGAGGGATAGAGGAGAGGATAGGTGGAGAGGAAACAAACA